ATTTCTAGGACCGGTTAAAAGCATCACACAGAAACTGAATTAACACTAGTATGTCTATAAGAGGGTCATGTCCAGAAAAAGCTTTGCAGAAAAAAATCTCCATGCTCATATTTCTCTGCCCAGGAGGTTCTCCTAGAATCTAAGAAACCATTTAGTGTCAAATTCAGCCACACTGAGCATCACATAATGGAGATACTGTTAAGACCATCATATATGGAGCCTGAATGATCCACAATGACTGGCAGTGCCCTGATTCTCCAAATGAAGCTCAGGGCTCTTTGCTTTGGCAAAAGCTGATTTCAGGGCTGCCTGAAACCAGAAATTCCAGGTGAAGCACTTCTGGTGACTCTTCTGAAAGAAATCACGATAAGATCTGCCATCTTGGTGCTTCGTAAAGCCAGGATGTCAGTCAGTGTTCACTAAAGTAAAAAGTGAATTTGTCAGAATCGGGATGTGATTTTCTACTGATAAAGCCTTTTGCTACCATGGAGAGGTTCTGAGACTATCAACTTGTGCGCTGATCCCAACAGTCACATTTTTGAGGCTGCCACCTCAAGTGTGTCATTCCAGAAGTCAGTTCTCAGGAAGCAGACCCCACGCACCACTTTCAGGAGGGCTCAAACTGCCTCTCAGAACAGGCACATCTATCGGAGCACTCCTCCATGAGCGACCAGCAGCCGGGGCTGAGGAGTTCTCACGCAGCCAGGAGTGACCTCCAGGAGAAATGGTTGTTTGTGCAGAAACTAAGCCGCGGGGTCAACTCCCTGGTCCAGCCTTTTCCATTCTGATTATAGACACATTTTGTTTGTGTGTCTAGGGCTAGAGCCGATCGTGCTTAGTTTTCACTTGCATGACTTTTAGTAGGACAAAAAAAAGAACCCGATTCTACAATGATGTTGTCATTATCTTATATATCAAATATATAAAATTAGATCAGGATACTTCACTGAGTATCAACCTGTCCTTGACTTTCTTGTGGAGACATGATTTCAGCCTATGCCTTGTAAATAGGCGGACTGCTGTTCATTATACTCAGAGAGGATTCAGAGAGGTTGATATTCCAGTTCCTCATCACCCCAGACTTAAATCTTCAGCCTGGAGACTTAGTTTAGTGAAGAAAAGTCAGAGTAGGAGCCCTGGGTTCACTTCAGCTTGTGTTATAATGAACAATAACAAGTGTATATATTTAACAAGAAAGAGAAAATATTGATCTGGTTTATTCATTCACTCAACAAATACAGCGAGCTTCCTTACTCTCTGCTGAGCACTGTTGTAGGTACTTAGATATATCAGAGAACTCAACACAGATCCCTATTCTTAAGGACCTGATGTTTGGGTGGAGCATATGGGCAATAAACAATAAATATGAATTAATTATTGATTAAATTGGATGATCAGTGGAAAAATAAGAAGGCGAGCAGAGGAAGGAGGGTCAAGGGGTGGAGAGGAAGAAGTTAGTGTGGATTGTAGGCTGGCCAGCATGTTTCTGGGTGTATGTTACTGAATATGTTTTTTTGAATTTGAACATAGTTCTGAATATTTTTAGTGTCCAGTAGTGATGCAGATCATGATATTGATTGCTAACCACTCCTGAGGCCAGTGGTGTGCTGAGCACCATGCTGGGTGTCTATCTGGATATCTCGTTTAGTCTGCAAGGTTGCACCTGTTCTTCAGAACCCCACAGCAAGATGGCAGACCTTAATTCTTGACCTGGGCCTTCCCATCTTCATGCTTTGTCTTCGGAGCAGGAATTGCTCCAAAGACATTGGTTTTCATTTAAATATCATGCTGTGTAGACATCCCCTTAAGCCCCAGAGCTTGTATAGTGAGTGTTTCCAATCTATAGAATGTGTTTGCTAAACTCCATAGCTGGTGAGCCCGGGCTGTCCTTTGTGGATTCAGGTGCCAGTGGGAGGATTTCCCATGAGAATAGCTGGAAATAAAAATGCAAACGGGAGGGAAGCCTGTGGTCTTTGTTACCCTGACTCCACATGCAGCTTGGACGTTGGCTGAAGAATCCAGCTTATGGCACAGCCCGTTGCTGTTTATGGCTTTATTAACTTTACAGAAAGAACACAGTTCAGGCTGATTGCTGGGTGGCCTCCTTGTTTCTGTCACTTCCTGTTTCACCTACAGGAGAACTGTAGGGTTGGTTTGGACTTCCAAAGTCCTCTCAGACAGGTTTCTGCTGCAAATTAGGCCTGGGTGGTGCTGCCCCCATGAAGTTCTGTATCCCTCCTCAGACTCTGAACATTGCAGGAAAGATAGGGCTAACAAGTTACATTTCTGCTATACCACCTTCACACCAGGATCGTTCACTTAGAGTTACAGAAAGAGTCTGTGTTTACCCACCCTCTATGGGTAAGAGGGAATTCTTTTATGCACTCTGTAACTTTTGCATGCCCACTCCATCCCTGGAACTAGAATAAAAGAATAGGAAGAAAAGGTGATAAGAAAACAGTGGCAACTTAACCATGGCCATAATTTGGGCTTTAAAAAATTGGTCCTGTTGAATCGTTACAAAATAACTTGCAGATAGGATTGAAGACTTCATAGACTAATGATTGAGTAGAAAAATTGCTTAGAAAAATTTGAGACAGATTTTATCAGTGCAGTAAGTCAGAAGTCAAGTCACATCTTCAGATGACACACACTGATTCCTGGAACTTAGTAATTTTTTTTTCTTTTTTTGCTTGAATTTGTCACCGTCAATTCCACTTTCTGTTCTATTCCTGTTAGAATGGCCTCCTTTCCCCAGGCACTCAGATCCACCCCACACAACACCACAAGCTCATTCTTCACCACACCCTGCTTTCCTGGTGTTGCTGCATGCCCAGAACCTCCCTTGGTTTCTACTTCCTGTAATGCCAAGGTCACAAAGCCTGATGAATTGCCATCAGCAGGGCCTTGAACATGGCCTCTCTCCTCTCCCTCCACATCCCTCTGATTTAGTCATACAGTTCCACCCATGCTGTCCCGTGACTTCACCTTGGCATCTCACAGCCCACCTCTACCTTATTCCTGCCTACCTTACTTGCTCTCTCCTCTCCAAAGAGGTGCCACTCAAGTTACACAGCCCCTGTGAGGGCCTCTCCAGCCCAGTTCCACTCACTTCTCCCTCCTTAACCTTCAGTAGCCCCTGATGCCTCCTCCACACCTTCAATACATGACCCCTGTTTCCTCACAGTCTTCATTTTTGTCTCACATGTACATGCAAGAACAGGGAGTTTGCTTCCTATTACCCCACATCCACTCTGTGGCCAAGCACGCAATACAGTGCAGAAGTTGGTCCCAAGTAAATTGTTGGAGGCCAGGTCAGCAGCCTCCTCTCACTTCTAGAAAAACCCTTACCAATTCTCACCTTTCCTTTTGCTTATGCCGACATTGCATTAACTCTGCATACCTCTGCAAGGCGTCTCAGAAAATGCCCATCAGAACCTTCCACCTCATGCCAAGCTAGTAAGCTAGTTGGTTTTTCATTTGTTTCGTTTGTTTTTAAGCAAGAAAACTCTATTGACAGGAGGAATCGTGAAAGAAAAAAATGTCAAAAACAGACAACTTAAAGGGGTTGAGCTGTCTCTCTTTTGTCCCCTTCCCTGCCCTTCCTCCCCATTCCCTTCCCCGTCACTTTTTGTTTTGCTTTTCATGCCAACTGCTAAAGACTGTAATTTAAAAACTGAACTGGCTTTTCCAGAGCCATGAGGAATGTGCATCTGCACGTGGATTTTTTCCACAAGAAAATTGTCCCTGTCTTTTGGTTCTTCTTAGCCAGAAACAATGAGGCCAGGCAATGGGATGAGTCCATCCATCTTCCCAGTTCTTGCTCTAATTTGTCTGAGGGGCTCAGAAGGGGCCGAAGGGGATGGTTTCTGTTTCACCCTGTCAGGCTGCTGTTTGATGAGGTTTGTGCTCCATTTGTTTGGATGGTTTTTATGGTTTCTTTGTTGTTCAAGGAAAGACTTTGAAAGTTATAATTCTGTATTCTTAAACTCTTCTGTTATTCCTGCTCAGTGTCTCAATGGGACTCACACCACAGGAAAGGAAATGAGGGAAATTTCCAGCCAGTTAGTGAAGCAATTTCTGAACACATTTATGGAGGCATGTGGAATCTTGCAAGAAGGAAGTTGCAGTCATAGCTCAGGTTCCATGGAGTATTCTCCAAGACAATCTAGAAGCAAGCCTCTAGTCTTCCCAGGCGAGAGTCTTGTCTCCATTCACTCATTTCTTGATCTGGCCCTTTCTCCAGCCACACCTCTGGCCTCTTTCCTTTCCCTGTGGTCATCAGACCCAGCCCTCTCCACTATCAGTGGAAAAACCTGAGAGCCCTAAGCGAGCCTGGAATGTGCTCATCCCTCTGAGGCCTCGTCCCACAACATCGGTGTACTGAAATAAGAGCTCTAGTCAGCCCCCCAGGAATGACTCAGGTCTAGGCTTTGAGGCATTCTTCTTAGGGGGCTTTTCATCTGAACATCACCCATCTCTTCAGAGATGCTTGCAGGATTTTGCTATGTAGCTATAGACTTTTTTTATTTCTAACCTTGTATTAGTTTATATTTGCAGAAAGCTTCAAAATGTGCTTTACATGTGTTATTTCATTTGATCATTACCATAGCCCCATAAGGTAGATAAATTATCTAAATTTGTATTTGTTTATTAAAGAATATTGAGACTCAGAGGAGTCTTATGATTCATTCAAGGTCTCATAGTAAATAACACCAGGGAGCGAACTTGAACCAATCCCCTGACTTCAAATTCAGTATTCTTCCCATTACTTCAGGTTCCAGATAAGACTGAAACCTTCACAACATCACAGTGTTAATGTTCCATCCACCACCCCACTCCCAACTCCAGGGGAGAGTACACTTCTGGAATTTAGTGATGCTTAAAAAGTTATTACTGAATTAAATTTAATTTCTCTTGATCACTAAGAGGCAATCTTCATGCAACTTCTCTGAAGAGCAGGTGATGCTAATGTACCCCTATTTGTTGTTTTTCATTAGACCCTTCTTATGACTCAGTCAGGAGAGGAGGATGGAGTAATAACATGAATTCTGGCCTCAACAAAAGTAAGTGAATGTCATATCATTCTTTGGGAGGAAGACATTTTTCTGAGAATTGGGATAGAAAACAGGATCAGGAGATAAAGGAGGATAGGAACAAACATTTTTCCCTGCTTTTTGAGCAAACATCAAAATTAATTGCCAATTTGGGGCCTGTCTGTAAACCTACTCCTTGAAAGATGATATGGGATTTTCATTGAGACTTTTGAGTTTTTCATTGCTCTTGGTTTTAGAATTTTTGCAGTTGGCAGTTTTCTTGGGACAAGGTTCTGTATGAATGAAAGGATTTGTATTTTGTTATTTAAGTTAGGATAACAATCCTCCTTGACTTTTCTTTCCTAATTGTCAGGGCTTAGTCATACTAATTTCCTTATCCTTATTCCACAAAAGACTGAGTGGGAAGATAACCCAATGAGGAGATGGTAGGGGTCTAAGACATCATTTGTCCACCACGTGGTGAGGTGGGTATATGTTGAGGTCTACCCAATATCTCCCATTAAGGAAATAAGGAAAGAGAATGACTCATGAACTCCTGAACCAGAGTGTGTCAAACTTGCTGTATCTGGAAAGCAAAATATCCAGTACATGAATGGGTCATTAAGGAAATTATTTAAGAAAGAGGTTGGGATTACAAATTAATGCCCAAGCAATTACCAGAATCACTTTCGACTACATTTATTAACTATTGGTTAACCTTGCACACAACACTTGGCACCATAGGATTCACAAAGATGAATCAGACAGGGACTGGGCCTGTAAGCAGGAGAAGGAAATTATGCCCACACACAATTCTTCTCATGTGGGTGGTATCGAGGAAGGTTTTGTGGACCTGGTAGCATTTGAGTTAGCTCTGGAGAGAGGCAGGATTTGGACCCAAGGAGACAGGAAGGACAGACACTTCCAGTACTGGTGAGGACTGGGAAAGACATCAAGTTTGGCATGTCTGACAGTTAGTGAGAACCCCAGGTTCCCAGAGTTTAGGATGTGTGATGGAAAAGAAATCTGTAAAGATAAGAAAGGGGTTGTGAATAATGCTATGAAGATAGACCGTAATTCTTGAGGCAACAAAGAATCACTGAGGTTTTGAATGGAAGAGTGTACAGTGGGTCATTGGGGAGGAAGAAGAGGGACAAAGACACCAATCAGACAAAGCCACAGATCACGCAAGAAGCAACAAAGATCTGAAATGCAGAAGCAATGACAGAATGGAATGGGTGTGTAAGAGAAACCACAGAGGGAAACTCACATAACAGAGAAATATAGGAAGAAAGTGATCTTTGCTCAAATGTCACCTTCTCATTGAGGACCTCTCTACATTTCCTATTTAAAAATAAAATCCACAATCTCCATACCATTAGACATGTTTACTTTTTTAAAATTTGTTTATCACTGGGTATGATGGCTTACGCCTTGAATCCTAGCAATTTGGGAGGCTAAGGCAGGAGGTTCATTTGAGGCCAGGAATTTGAGACCAGTCTGGGTAACATAGAGATACCCCATCTCTAAAAATAAAAAAAAAAGTTTATCATTGTCTCCCCCATTAAAATATAAGTTCTACCAGGAACTGCTTGTTCACTGCTGAACCTCCAGCATGGAGAACAGTACCAGCATGTAGTAGATTCTAGATAAATAGTCATAAAATAAAATGAATAAATGAGTCCGTGTAGTGCGGGTGAATGAATGAATGAGAAAGCACACTGGACCTCTTTCTGAAGGGTGCCTGTCAAGGTGAGTCTCCCCTCATGGAGATTGCCCTACTGACCACACTTATTCTCTTCCATAGGTCCTCCCCTTGGAGGGGCACAAACGATAAGCAAGAATACGGAGCAACGGCCCCAACCAGGTACCTGTCCAGGATGTGCAATGACTTCTTTGCTTCCTGTGCAGCTGTTGATTCCACATGGTCAAATGATGGAGGATTTAAACAATAAACTGCATATGTTGCCTCTTTTTTTTTCTCTCAAAAAGAGTCTATATATAGTTCGCTGTAACAAAGTTACAGATACTGAAATCAAGTAGAGACTTGTTAAGTATCAGGGGTAAAAGGAACTTAAAAATGAAACGTTCCAATGCCTTATTTTGTCAAAAGAAGAAACTGAGGCCCAGAGAGGTAGTCATTTGCTAAAAGTCACACAGCTGATGTATAAGGGAAGTAGAGCTATAACCCCAGACTTCCAAGTTCCTGTCCAAGCCTTTTGTGCTTAACCAAATCTTATTTTCAAATACTCCCATCCTGTGATGGATCTACTTAACAATTTAAGACAGAGGAACTTTTAAAGTCATAGACTTGGAGATTCAGTATTGGAGCAGAACTTAGAGACATCTGGGTCTATAACATCTTCGTCTTCTGCTTACCTCATCTCTACCTTACTTATGGCACAACAGGAGTTGACTGCCTAGTGGGTTTAATGTCACCATCTGAGCTGAAGTGCCTTCTCTGGAACTTGCACTCAAGTTTCCTACTTTGCCCTCTGCAAAATTCTCTCTCCCTTCTATACGAAGGCCCTCTGTATACCTGAAGACAGCTGCTGTGCCCAAGCCCCAGCTTCACTATGTCTTCTTATGTGATGCAGCTGAGATTAAGTTTGAACAATGTTTGCTTTGGGATGGCAAACATTGTTTTGCACCCCACTGTAGACTGGAAGGTTAAGAAAAAACTTTCTGACTGTGAAACACAAGTCAGATGTAGGGTTTTAAAGAATCTCCAACAACAACAAAATTAGGCATCACCTGCCAAAAATATTCTCATTATCATACTAAACGTGTGGATGAGAGAAGGTGGATTAAAAGGTCTTAATGACTCTTGAAGCTAATTCATGATTGTAAGTAGAAACCCAAAAATCATATTGATATCTTAAAAATGGCAATTATAATTATAAAAATAGTGAAATTATACAAAATATTGGACAATATGGCCAAGTTGAAACACAGCTCTCGACCATGACTTCTTCAATTAAAAACAAGATAACAAAATTCACCTAAACCAATATTGCAAAGATTCTTTATGGCTAAATAATCACATAAGTTTTAAGTAAACTGAGATTTTAAGAATAGTCATTTTATAGCTAAAATACACATTCTGGTTAATGTTGACATTTCTGAGCTTAAAATCACAGTGTTGTACCAGAAATGAACCGAGGTATCTAGTAGCCAAGCCCACTCATTTTGCAGGTGAGAAAATTGATAGCCAGAAATTGTCCAACAAGTTATTTGTTTATAACATATCTAGGGCTAGAACTCAGGCTGCTTGTTTTCCAGCCATTTTCTAATACTAAGTCAGAAAAACAGAGATTTTTTTATGTTTTTAGTGTTAGGTTGAACTATTAAAAACTAGTAATCACCTGGGCCCAGTGGCTCATAGATAAGGCAGGAGTGTTGCTTGAGCCCAGGAGTTCAATACCAGCCTGGGCCACATGCAAGCCTCAGTCTCTATAAAATTAAAAAGTAAGGCTAGTAACCACAAGACTGCCTTTAAGCCCATTGAATAAGCTATCCCTTAGCTTATTCTTGGTATGACTGAATGTTAGCCAGTTCCTTTCCAAATGTTTTCATTATTTTGCTTTGGGTAATGACAGCATAATCTACAAATTTCAGATGTCAAATAAAGTAAAGCAATGCTGTTACTATTCCATGTTGTTTCTGTAATTATTGAGGTGAAGACCATAACTGTCATCAAGATCGTTGGGGCCCGCAAATATAAGCAGTAAATTTTTCTGAAATCTGTCTTTCCTATGATATTGAAATAAAAGTATAAACCCTTGGGGTTTTCTTATTGTTGCTGCTGTTATATTTTTAATAACACTGAAACAAATTTCCTTTTTTATTTCCTTAGATCCATATCAGATCCTGGGCCCGACTAGCAGTCGCCTTGCCAACCCTGGTGAGTTTACCTTGGCCTGCAGGCCTTTCTTTCCAGAATGTTCCATAGCTTTGTGAAGTCATAGACTTCTGTCCTAAGTCCAGATACCTAACTGAGGAGTAACATGCACATCATTCCTTGAACTGTTCAATATCTGTTTCTATAGCGTGCAAAGGAGAGGTCAAGTCTTGTTATTAGGTGGCAATGTTAGCTGAGGATGACTATGGAAAACAAACACATTAGCACTGCATATCTGCACTGAGGTTGAGATTATTAATAAGTGGTACAGGTAGACATTTCAGTTGGGAAAGATGGGGAGAAGGAAACAATTCCAAGAACCTCTCAGTTATCCCCCTCATGCAAGGTGCAAGTAAATAAATATTCCAGAAGTATTTTATTCCTGATTTTAGAAAATGTTGCAGAGTTATATGGCCTTATAAATGTTGCAGAGTTATATGTCTCTGAAAAGTTGCAGATAAAGTAAATTTGACAATGTCTTTTAAGGATTTATTATTAAAAAATAACTCTCAAGAGGGTTCTTCTAAGCCAAGACCATCAAGATTGGGAATGAATAGACTCTTGGCAATGTAAGGTCCACACATCATCTTGTCCCAGGAAGTCTTCCTACCTGTTCCTTAGTGTCTGACCATTCCTGCCCAGAGGAAGAAGAGGCTAACTAGCATCAATGTTCCTGTTGTTTTCCTCTCTGCTCAACCTCTTCCCCTTAGAACTTAGAGGTGAGAGCCAAGCTCTTAGGACCCTGTCAAGGATCAATTCAAGTCGGGTCAACCTAAAAGCTAAAGCTGACAAGACAGTATTTCTATGACCCTGACTCTCTCTAATACTGACAGGCAATACTTTGGGGGACTTCTTCAACAAGTAGAGGTTAGTAGACCTTTATAGAAGAGATTCAAAAATCTTGCCTCACATTCCAGAGCTTTGGGGAGATGGTACCCACCCAAGATCACACAGCTAGTTCTGGGCAAAGAACTCTTACCCACATTCCATTTGCTAGGTCGTGGGGCACATTATCTTAAGAGCTAACCTTGCTTATTATGCCCTTCTCCGTGGCAAGCAGAAAAGCAAATCAACAGTGCTGATAAGGGGTTGTCAAACTGATCCCAATGTAAAAAGGATTTCTTACAAAGGGAGAAACTCCCTGCATTTAAGGAGCCAAGTTCTGACTTCTCCAATATGAGATATTCTGTTTTCTCCCATTTACCTCACTGCCTGCAGGAAGCGGGCAGATTCAGCTATGGCAATTCCTCCTGGAGCTACTCTCCGACAGTGCCAACGCCAGCTGTATCACCTGGGAGGGGACCAACGGGGAATTCAAAATGACGGACCCCGATGAGGTGGCCAGACGCTGGGGGGAGCGGAAAAGCAAGCCCAATATGAATTATGATAAGCTGAGCCGGGCTCTCCGATATTACTATGATAAAAACATTATGACCAAAGTGCATGGCAAAAGGTATGCCTACAAATTTGACTTCCACGGCATTGCCCAGGCTCTGCAGCCACATCCCACTGAGTCGTCCATGTACAAGTACCCCTCTGACATCTCCTACATGCCTCCCTACCACACCCATCAACAGAAGGTGAACTTTGTTCCTCCCCACCCATCCTCCATGCCGGTCACTTCTTCCAGCTTCTTTGGAGCCGCGTCACAATACTGGACCTCCCCCACTGGGGGAATCTACCCTAACCCCAACGTCCCCCGCCATCCTAACACCCACGTGCCTTCACACTTAGGCAGCTACTACTAGAAGCTTAATGACCAGTGACCTTCCAGCCGAAGCCCATCCCTCACACTTCCTGGATACTCTGGACTCTAAAGGACATATGTGGCCTTGAAGAAAAAACGAAACTGGATGTTCTTTCTTGTTGACTAGAACCTTTGTAATTGTTTTTTTAAAAAATCTTTTTTAATGTTGGTAACTTTTGCTTCCTCTACCTGAGCAAAGAGATGAATAATTCCATGGGCCAGTATGCCATTTTGGATTCTCAGTCTCCTAGCATCCTGTGAGTGGAATATTTAGATTACTGGAATGGTTATATCATGGTTCTGAGAAAGAAGCTGTATATCTTCTTTATGTTTTTATGACCAAAGCAGTTTCTTCTCAACACACGGGTCTCATCAGTGTAGGGTTCAGTACAATAAAGAATCATAGACTTAACTGGTCGTGTTCTGGTTTGAGATTTAGTGAAAATAGAGACAGGGAGCTTAAAATTTTACTTTAGAAGGAACTAATTCAGTGGATGGCAGCTGGAACATTGGTTGTAAGGCCAGTGAAGTTTTCACCCAACTGGAATTTGAAAGAAAGAATGTGTGTGTATTTAAGAAGCCATGGGCATTGCTAAATTTCCCTCAGTGGGTGATGTGCACTCAGCTGACCATTCTCTCTAGAAATAGTCAAGATATGAACTAAGAAATGTTAATGCAAATATGGACATTCCTGAAAGACAGAGAACTAAATAACTAATTTTTTTTTTTAATGATGACAGTGAGTCCCAGAACTTTGAAAAGTCATAGGGATTTCTAAACTCAAACAGATTCGCAAGCGCTGTGCGTTTGTCAGACCATCAGACCAGGGTCAACCAATCAGAAGGCAACTTACTGTATAAATTATGCAGAGTTATTTTCCTATATCTCACAGTATTAAAAGTAAATAATTAAAAAATTAAAAAGAATAAATAAACGAGTTGACCTCGGTCACAAATGCAATTTTACTATCAAATCAGTCGTTGTTATTTTTTTAAATGTAATTTGTACATCTTTTGTCAATCTGTACATTTGGGCTGTTTGTACGTTTTTATAGCTGGTTTTTTAAAAGCATAATGTGACTATTGCTGAAAAGAAAACAGGACATTTAAGTCACTGACTTTCAAGAAAGAGAAGCACTGGTACAGTTATTTATCAGGCATGCACAAGCAAGGAAAGTCAATCCATTTAGCTCTTTAATGCTTTGGAAATGTTTGTAAATAACAGTATTGCAATAATCACAACTCTGAAAGGAACAACCAAACTTTCCCTCGTGGAGATGAGGGATTTCCTGCTCTATATATGCAATATATTTTTTAGACATTAAAGTATATATAATTTTGCAGGTAATCGTTTACTTTTTTAACTATATTAAGTGTAAGCTGACAACTGTCAATGAAGACTATGTTGTAAAATAATTTGACTAAATAAATTGTGCCTTCTTCTCTCAGTACTGAGGACACTGTTTTCTTATTTACTTCCCATTAGGTCAAAAGGTTTTCCCAGGGGAAGTTTTCTGTTTACTTCTTACACTCTCAAGAATGTTTCAAATGTACATTCTACAGTACAGCAGAAGGTACAAATTGATGTAGTTGGCCATTGACTTGCTAAGCCATGGTGTGGCCATGTGCTCTTTGAGCTATGGCCAGACCATGTTTTCATAAACTTTGGCCTCCTCCCCTCCCTTGGAGAGGTAAATCTCCTCTTTTCTCTCTCTCTAATTTACTTTCTAAATAAACTATATTTTTTAATCTAAAAAAAAAAATTGATGTAGTTTTTCATTGTTGTTGGTGATGCTTGCAGTGATATTTTTTCTGTTATTTAAATCTTTCTCCAGCCTACAAGGGTTTTATAAAATGATAACCAGAGACACAGTTCATCTATGTCCAAGTCCCAGCACAAAGCAGACATGTCCACCCAGACTTGCCATGAGACTTCACTCTGTGGCCGGCCTCCCCAAGCACCTCAAGCCTAGATAGCCAACATTCTGATACTTCAGCAGCCAATAAGAGTCCTGCTTCCTTCCGGTCCCTGGCCAGGATTTTATGGTCCATGCAGATTTTTAAGGTCTTTTTTTTTTTGCTTCCCAAGGAAGAAACTTGCTTTAAATTGTTTGACTATTAAGTAGGTTGTTTTCATTTCCTTTATTTTATCATGAAAAAAAAAATGAGACCCAGAAAGTCCTTGATGTTGCAAGGAATTAGACTCCCAGATTGGAAACTCTTTAACCTTCCCTGGGTAACACTGAGCACCTTCTAGACAACATGTCTACTACCTAAATAAAATGCAGGGATGTGTTCCAGTACTTTGGTCTCCAATTTGGTTTTTTGGTGTTTTTTTTTTTTATGTTGCAGTCTATCATTTAAAAAACATGTAAAGCACATATTCTCAATATATGCACATTGAGCTATAAATCATATATACAAGCTGTTACATTATTATTATTATTATTAATATAAAACAAGCACAAAATAGAAATTTTGAAGGATGTTACAAAATAAATTGAAACTGGAATTCTAATGTTTTCCTCCTATTTATTTATATTGCATGTCCTCTGCTGTTAAATTTGAAAAAAAAAGTTAGTCTTTAGTGAAGTAAGTATTATGTGTGCATATATGGGTTTTTCTAGTGACTTTTAAGAAAGGAGAAAATAAAAAGTTGGTATTAGAGGCCCCAACATAGAAAGAGAAGTGATGAAGGCCAGGTATGTTTAAGAATGCCCTGGCTGAATTCTTTTACAAATCTCCATTTCCGTCAAGCAATTTCCACATCAGTTTTGAAATCAGCCAAGTATTATTTAGGGAAGCATGAATTTCTGACTACTATAAGAAGATGCTCAGGCCATCAGGGGCTCACTCTTTAAAAGGTTTTCTTTAGGTGTCACATTCAAATGTTGGCTTAGATTCATCACCTCTACAAAGTCTTAGAATTTTAGCCAAATCTTGTCTCCTAAATATGTTCTATGGTGATTTAGTCTACGTTTCGAAGCTGACAGGACTGGGACACCATTTTCTCCTCACAAGCATTTGTGCAGAGGATGGACTGGCATGTAGTCCCCTACCATGCCCAGATTTAAAGTTTACTAGCTAGCTCCAGGGCATCCAGCTGACTAGTCACAGAGAACAAGCAGGATTGTAGCCCTCCTGGCTGCTAGTCTAGTATTTTCCCCAGTCAACCATTCTGTGTCTATGCCATGTGTTTCTGCAGTCGAATAAACAGAACAAACCAAGCAGAGAGGACATGGCAAGCCTGTGAGCAGTTCCAATGGAAGTTATTTCTCCCCACAGTTTAGGATACTGGCCAATAGCCCTTTTGAGCAGGAGGTTGTTTCAGTCCATTTGGGCTGCTATTCCAAATTATCCTAGACTGGGTGGCTTATGAAAACAGAAATGTATTTCTCACAGTTCTGGAGGCTGCGAAGTCCAAGATCAAGGTGCCAACAGATTTGGTGTCTGATGAAGGCCTGTATTTTGGTTTATAGATGGTGATGTCTCACTGTGTCCTCATGGTAAAAGGAGCAAAGGGTTCTCTGAGACTCCATGCTGATGACCTAATAACCTCCCCAAAACTCTACTTCTAAATACTCTCACATTTGGAGATTAGGTTTCAACATTTGAATTTGGACAGGGGAGCAGACACAAAGTTCAGTCTATAGCAAAGTCCATCTTTTTTTCAGTGTCACAAAATATTGTTGAGTCTCACACAAAGGAAATTATATCTTTAATATATGTTTCTTTGGAACTTTTTTTTTTTGTCCAAAAACCACTAGAAATTTAAGATCCCTTAAGATGATTATTTTACTTAAGCAATAATATCCTTGTGCAACTGAACAATGAATGTGTATGATGTTTATGTAGTCTGTGGGTAAGCATAAAGTGACTCTTCAGATGGGGTATACTAGTTTAGACCAAGTGAGGTCAGGAGATTCCAGAACACCCCAAGACAAGGTGCTGCCATGCCAAGGAAATAGTTGGTGGTGAAATGAAAAAACAAAATGCAGTGCTTCCTGTGAAAGGACTTGGTTTCATACCCTACTTCCTCTAATACCTGCTCATTCACAACCTGCATGTAAACATATTGCCTTAAAAACTATTGAAAAGGTACCCTTTGGGAGAATGCGCTTGGGGGAAGCAACCCTTGGGCTTGGCTCTCTGCTATGCAGCCCTACATTTCACAGGAGGACTGCCTCCCAGGGGCTCCTCCACCAACACTGTACCACTGGGCTTGCATCCAGTGCACCCTCAGGAGGCGGCAGTAAGATGGAGCTTAGTATCAAAGGGGACAGGGAGAGGGGCCTAATAACGAAGGGGACCAAGGGACTGGGTTCTGGTAAACATACAGAGGCTTTACGCTTATCCAGGAAGGAATGTGGGCTTTGCAAAAAGCACACGGGCATTTCATTAGGCAGAAACCTACTGAAATTGACATTGAATGCCTTCAGCTAGGGACTCCAGCTCAGGGATTCTGAAAAGTCGCTGATTCAAGACTACAAATCCCAGGCTCCCTCGGGGGACGGACACTTCTGAGAGGAAGTGGGTTAGCCAGTCAAAAACCTCTAGGGTTTCAGCCAGTTGAGAAAGGATATGGAAGGAAGCTTTTAAAAGGAATGTCGGCCCACAAGCCTGGGGTCTGTCTCCCTCTCTCACTCTTACTTGGCCTCCTGTCTAATTGTTTCAGTCTGTCTGAGCTGGTGAATTCCTAAGCACATAGTCAATTTACACTTAGCTTAAAAGCTCTAGGGGGAAACAGAAAAAATTTCCAGCGGGACCACTCACTTACCTACAATTGCTAGATTAACCTCCTGAATTTTAACTGAGTTAAATCATGTGTTTTCTTAGTGGGAGGAGAGAGGTAATTTGGGTAGATAAATGAAAATGAATATAATGCCAGAGACCCTGGGTTCAAATTCTGGCCTTTCCTCCTACTGGGAAGGCACTTGTCTGCACCTATTTATTAACTGGGCAGCTGAGCTGTATCTCGTGCAAGAGTTTAGATGACAATGTGGAAAACCCATGCAGAATACTGTGCAGAAAGCATCTATGTAATCACTGTTATCTACTAGTATTCTCTTGGTTTTTGAAAGCACACTCATTAAGTCCTGGATAACCAATTGGTGAGCACTCTGGAGAATTCAGTGCAATGTCATTTTTGTTGTGGTCAGAAAGACATTTTCCAAATGGGTACAAAGTGAGAGTAATTTGGATTTTCCAGAGAGTATCTGCATTTTCCTCATCCATGTTCTCCCAGAGCCTCTCGTGGGATTCTGCCCTTCCCTGGCCCTGTGTGTCTACTTAAAGTCAGTGGAGCATGCGGCCAAGCTACAGAACGCTGCAAATAAAATTAGATTGGTATAAAGGAATGCTAAAAATGTGCTCTGACAGTAATGTCAGATGGATTTTTCAATCAGCTAAGAAATAGAGTTTGGTAGCTGGGATTTTATGCCTAGCAAGGTTGGATTCAGACTTTTCACAAACCTAAAGTCACTTGCACGCTCCATGGCAGAAGGGACTGTGTGTATCTGGTTTGCTGTGGTGGCAGCCCCACAAAGTAATTGGTCAGTAAGTATGTCACCAATATATCAAATACAGAAAGTCCTGGTTATGAAGCTCAGCATTCCACTGAGCATAATGTATTGTTTCTGTACTTGATTTTCCCATCTATAAAATGAGGATGATAGTAGCAACCATAAAAAGTTATCATGGGAGTTGAGTAAAATGAGGTAGGTTTAAATGTCCTTTACTGTGTTGAAAAGAATGACAAAAATGCAAGATATTATCATCTTGGTTAATAGGCAGCTCCTCTTTTATCTATCTATTTATTTTTGAGTTGGGTCTCACTCTGTCATCCAGCTGGAGTGCAGTGACATGATCATGGCTCTCCCACGTAGCCTGGACCTCCTGTGCCCAGGTGATCCTTCTACCTCAGTCTCCTAAGTAGCTGAGTATAAAGGCATGCCACCACAGCTGGCTAATTTTTTAATTTTTTTTTTGTAGAGACGAGATCTTGCTATGTTGCTCAAACTGGTCTCCAACTCCTGGACTCAAGCAACCCTCCTGCCTCAGTTCAGGTTACAGGTGTAAGCCACCATGCCAAGCCAGAAGCTCCTCTGTATCATTCAAAACTCTGTACAGGCCTCTGTTCCTTGCTAACATAAGATAGAGTTAAACCATCCTGCTCTATTCTATTGCATATTATGAAAATGCACCTTAAATTTAAAAACCATAAAAGCTTGAAACAGCCACAAACTTACAGAAAAGTTGGAACATTACAAAGAACATTTTTTAGTAAATCATTTGAGAAAACGTTGCCAACCATGCTTCATCACCCTCAAATACTGAGAATGTATTTTCTTCAAGCAACAATATTCCCCTACACGATCCAGTACAATCATGAGAATCAAAAAATTAATGCAGACATATCACTACCACATAATCTCCAGGCAC